GCGTGCAGTCCGAGTCTCTCGCCCACCATCGCCATCAACCACCACCACCACCAACTCCGCATCGATCTAATGGATCTCCCCGAGCTCAACGAGGAGGACGAGGATCATCGGGTTCCTTTCTTCTCCCGCCGGCGATCCGAGCACACGTGGGTTATTTCGCTCTTCATTGTTGTCAGCCTCGTTGCTTTTGTTGCTAGCATGATAGTTAATGATTGCCCTGGGAACGCCGGCGGCGTAGGGCAGTGCTTATTCCGGTCGCTTGGGGTTCTCATTCCAGCCGATATATGAGAATCCACTTCTCGGGCCCTCGCCGTCGACGTAAACTCTCTTTCCTTTGACTTTTGCAGTAATTTGGGTGATCTGATCTTGGTTTATGTTTTAGATGTTATTAAATTTCTCTTTGAATTTGGTTTGCGTCGTGATGATTTTTGTGGAATAAAAGCGAACGTTTGATAGGATCGATTGTAGATTGACACAAGTCTTGTATATTTCCCAAGGTGTGAGGTATGTACTTACTTATGTAATAATTATTTGTGAAAGCACATTGTTAGAAAATATATTATTTGTATCTAGAGGGTTTTACATTTAAAGGTATGCCATATACATGTAGAACATTGTAAATACGGCATGATATTTATAAGCAGTTGCAAATAGGACTGTGAGATGAGAAAATTTTTGGAAATAGGCCACGCCAATCATCACCAATACATGTTTTCTGCCCACAAACACTTCTGTTTGAGGATTGCTACACTAACAGTCTCACTGTGTATAAATGTAAATACCCTATAAATGAGAAATAGAATACTCAATCAGGTACCCTGTTTCGTTCATTTTATGTAATGTACTTTGATGATTTTACACCTTGCTGCTCAATTTGTCGCATAAGGTAAACCAGGGATGCTTCATTTTGTTGTTGATATCGAGAAAATTTGTTACTCTGTCAAATATTAGCTGTCAGTTTGGGGGATGGATATGACTGCCAGTTAGTGTGCTGAAGTGATAACTTCTTTGCAGAATATTGTTAGATCAGCATCTTATACTCTTTTTTTTTGTGCTATCTACAGTTTGTTGTTATGGTTAGTGATGTCTTTTAGAATTTATGGTATGTAATGATATGCTTACACGACCACTAACCGATCCTGCGATTTGTAGGCAAAAAAATTAAAATAAGAAATAAAATTTTTTTGTAGCAGTCTTTTACACACTAATATTGCCTACCAATCCTGAAGTTATTTAGAATACTTTAGTGAACAAGCGATAATATTTAAGCTTTCCTTTGGTAGAAGATTTATGGTCTTCAACATGTTTGTTTAAATTCATACAGGTTGGTTAAAATGGGAGCCCTTCAACGGACCTTGCCAGTTAAGCTATGGCCCCTGGCAACATGTCCATGGTTGCATGCTGGTGTTATTCAGTTGGTAGTGAACCTCTCCAGTGTAATCATTGTAGGCCATCACTTGGAGCAGGAATTTGGTCCGTGTAAGTTTTTACACCAATTCAGTTCTGAATTTTGTAGCAAATTTCTTTTATGGGACTCATTATTCCTCAAACTTAATCCATCCTGCAAATACTCATTACTGCATAGGTTAGCTTTTTAAAAACTGATCTGAATATGAAAATCTATACTAGAATATTAATGCCCCAATTTCAGTGTTGAAGCTATCAGCTTAGAATGCGTCTCTAGAGATTAAATTCTTCTTTGCTGCAATTTTCCAACCCCTTTGTTTGGATTCTCTGGCAGTGAGGGCTGCAATAATCTACCTACTCTCTGCTCTTATGGGTAGGTGCTTTATTTGGCCTGCTTGGAGCTATGTTAGCTGGACTGATTCAGAATTGGAAGATATATGTTGCTAAGGTTTCTGTCTTCTGGTATCTTGCAGTCTTTTCTGATACCCTTTCCATCTCTGCTTATTTTTTTTTCTTTTCCTTGCAGTTTTCAGCATTGGCAATGCTAGGGTTTGTTGCTATCATCAACTGCTTTATTGGCTTACTACCACTTGCTGATAACTTTTCAAGCATCGGAGGTTTTTTGTCTGGAATTCTGCTTGGTGTTGTAGTCCTTTTCAACCCGCAGCTGTCAATCATGGAAAGGAAGAAGGGTTTATTTGATTATGACTTGAATAAATCTGTGAAACTGAAGCAGAAGCTAGACAAGCCAATACCGAGGATAATTGCTTTTCTCATGTTCGTTACAATGTCAGTTTGCATTATGTACTTTTCCTAATATCTGAGTTTGGTCTTCTTGAAGGCACGCATTCTTGTGACGTTGGATTAAGTCTTGTTTTATTTTCCTTTGGTACAGTCTTGCAGGAGGTTTAGTGGCAGTAATCTGGGGAATAAATGCAAATCACTATTGTTCGTGGTGCAAGTACATAAACTGTATTCCAACCGAAAAGTGGAGCTGTAATGAAAGGGCACCTGCTTGTGAGGTATCATGGCCCTTGTTTAAATATCTCCATGCAACTTTAGTTCAGTATACTGTTAGCTGTGAAACATGCTATACTGCATTGTTGAAAACTCTATCTAAAGTATTGACACAATGATATTGGCTATGAAACGGAAAGATTATGCATTCAGGATGCATCATATATCAACGGCCATCTGCTTGCATTAATCTTCCTTTGGCTGTTGAACAGTCTATCTAATAAAAATTGGGTAGATGTGGCAGGAGTTGAGTTTCGGGGTTATGATTGTTTAGATGCTGTCTATAATTATTGTTGTTATTCCTGATCTAGCATTTAACTTTTATCATATTGTTCATTTATAGAAAAATCAACCTAGGCTCAGGGTGATAGTAGTGTTCTTCTTTTCCTTTTCTTTTCCTCTTCTTGTTCTTGAATGATTTCCTTGACGGCATTATGCTTATTTTAAAAAGAGAGTGCTGCATCTATCTTCGACTTGCAGACAGAAATTTTGTTTCTGAAACTTTATGTGTGTGCATGTACATGAGGCTTCAGGCAAGAGAGCACAAATAGAAGGGGCAGTTTCATGTCAGCAACAGGTCATGAATCATACTCCTCACTTTTATCCTTGTGCTGTCTTGCCTGAAGCCTCATGTCTACCAGTGAAGTAAGATTCATTTGATACTGTGAATTTCAGAATCCCACTGATATACATAGATATAACTGTTCCTTGGCTATTAGCTTCTATGTCGAGGGACCTTGGATGGCTTCACAATATCTACAAGAAATATAGATAAATGTTTGTCTTCACAGACGATCATCCTCTATTTTCGTGGCATATCCCACCTTAACTTGGTTCTTTCCATGATTTATATTGTTCTTGAGTAAATGTTTTGATGTACAATGTTGCTACTATGAAATTTTGCAGGCTATGGTAAGCGATGGGAGGCTGACATTAATGTGCTTGTTTGGTGACAAGTTCCGGACATTTCCATTTGACAATATCTCGAAGGAAAGGATAGATGAGTTGTGCAGTATAACATGCTCCTGAGTCTGTTTTGTATGTTTTCACTCTCTTCAAAAGAAATCCCAATATTCTTTGTTGTATCTTCTTCCTGTTCATAGCTCTGGTGTTTTGTTGTACTACATAATGTGATGAATCATCCTGGACATTTTGGTGTTTCTTAATTCATTGATTTGTAAGTCACTGAATTCCTCAGGATTGTTAGTTGTTGTGATTCTTCTTCTTCTTCGATTCCTATTGACTCGTTTTCACTGTAAGCAGTGTCTCTTCTCAGTCAAAGTTGTATTGAATCTTGTGTTGAGTGCAGAACATATTTCTTAGTAAGAGAGCTGCTAATCGTTGCACAATGGTTGGAGATCCCTTGAAATACTAATCTGTTGAGTATGTTAAAGACTGTAGCATGCACTTTTGCACTCACCACCGAAAATTATGTGCATATGACTAATTATGTGAAAGTAATACCTTAAGTCCTTAGTGGCACCCTTGAGTTCATTCTTGATGTCTATAGATAAGTAAGATTTTCATTATTGGCCATTGATATCTGCAACGTAGAGATGGAGGATTTGAAGAACTATAGAGCCAAATGATGCCTAATCTCTGTGTATTGGTGCTTGTCAAATGTTAAGAAACTAGTATAATTTTGAGGTGTTTCACGCGTTTGAACTTTTTTTTAAAGAACCTACAATATTTTTTCCTTGGAAAAATTATTTCAAAACCTCAAATTCCAAGTTCCAATGTGCCCCAGCCCCTCCTACTTTCACTAATGTATTGCGACCCCTATTTTTTTGAAAAATTTATGCTCAGGCCCCCTCCAACTCATGCCAGCTCATGATTTGACGCAGGTCCACCTAAAATCCTAATTTTACCCTTTCTCTTTCTCATGCCAGCTCATGTTAATTATTATAGGTAACATGTTAACTATTATAGATAACATGTTAACTATTACAGTTCACACATTAACCTCAAAACGAAAATCATTGGCACCTCCTTCTCCTTCCCCATTGGCATGTGGGCCGCGTCCAGCATCTCCGCCAAGCCCCATGATCGCCGCCGCCCACGCGAAGTTCATCGGCGTTTGAAATTACCTCGTGTGCTCTTCACTCACCCTCTTCTTCTTCTTTTTCACCCTATAGTTGTGCCCACTTTGTATGGAGCGGGGGAGGGAGGCGGCGGTGCTTGGGAAGGCAGCGGTGGAGGGAGGTGGGGGAGGGAGGCAACGGAGCAGGGGAGGGAAGCGGCGTAGGGGGCAAAGGGGACCGGAGGAGGAGGAGGGAGGTGTAGGGGAGAGGGTAAAACCGGGATTTTGGAAGAAAATGCATTGGAACTCGGGGGGAGGTGAGCTGGAGGGGTCTGGACACAATTTTTTTAAAAAACAGGGGGTGCAGCACATTGGTGAAAGTTGGAGGGATTGGAGCACAATGAAACTTGGAATTTGGGTCCTTGAAGCAATTTTCCCCTTTTCCTTTCAAACAAATTTCTTTTGAGTTCAATCCTAGAGTTTGTGTGCGTTAAAATAAAATAGAAACAGACTACTACAGGTTTTGGGGCGCCACTGCCATCGAGCGCCCGTGGCCTAATGGATAAGGCGTCTGACTTCTAATCAGGCGATTGTGGGTTCGAGTCCCACCGGGCGTGTGTGCCTTCGATTAATTTTGTTTTTTTTTTATTTTACTTTTTTTCCCTACCCGCAGCATTATGGGCCTTAAGCCCACAGCAATGTCCAACACTACAAGTTACGAGCATAATATTTCCTTCTAGCCCAATTGAGGAAGAACGGTAACGCATCGTTTTGCTTTAGTCGTAGGAGATCTTGTTCTCACTCTATGATAGGGGCAGGTTAGCATACGAATGTATTCTCCTTTCCATCACGGCTTAATCATCTGGAGATTATTCCTCAAAACCTTGAGTTTTTAGATGTTTTAGATCATTTAGACCTTATTAATTAATTAATTAAAAACAAACCCACCATATATAGTTGGGCAGCATGATGGGGGGTTATTTCTGAGCACATAATGCAAGTAGCAGAAGATTGTAAGCTTTTTTATGGTCCCTTCATCAAGAGATCAGGGTCAAAAGCTGCAACAGAACGGGGGCGTTTTCTCTTTGGAAAAGTTGTTGGATCTAGATTTCGTTATAATATTATTATTATTATTATTATTTTTGCATATTGACAACTTAACTATGTCACTTAGCCTGCAAGTAATTTTATGGAAGACCACTAGATTGTAACTTAGTGGAGCGTTTCAGTGGCCGTTGCCATTTCTACCCCCCATGCATTTGCGCTCTTTTTGCCCTTGGTGTTAATTTGTTACCTAGGTCAAAAAAAGTTACTGTAATTTTTATTTTATATTTTTTTTTATTTTTGAAAGAAGGGAGGTGAATCCTCTCTCAGAACGTCCTACACCGTGCACATTCTGAGCCCTACGAAACTCTTGTACGGGTTAGTTTAGATATTTCACTGTCGCCCACATGTTTTGGATCAGACCTAGTCTTATGTGGTTCTGATAAGAATTCCACTCGGAAAAATGTTTCTATATAGTTGCTATATGACTGAATTATGGGATTGGTATTTTTAGTAGGATTTATCAATATGGCTTCTTTTCTTTCAATTGCGATATTATGGTATTACCATAATATCAATGTTTTGTGTCAATTTGATATTATTTTATATAGAAAAAAAATAAATAAATCGGTATGGATTCCGATATAAATACCATAACTAGGGGTGGAAATGAACCAAATAATTAATAAATAGTTCGATAATTGTTCGAATAACTATTCGATCATATTCGATTCGGTAGTTCATTTACCACTAAACAAATATTTTTTAGTATTCGAGTTTACTAACGAATAGAATTTAACCAGATGTATATTCGATTCGTTTGCCTATTAAATATTCGTTTAAAATTTAATCACAACTTATTATTTGTATTATTGCACATATGATGTCATATTTTTAATTCACTTACCATTTCTATTTAACTTTTATATACTGATTTTAAGTCTGAAATAATCTTAAATCTATTTTCTAATTAAACTTTTAATTTAAATATATATACATCATATATTAAAAAGGAATACATTTTATTTATGAATTTTAATATTATTTGAAAATCAAATTTTTTAGTAGAATAAATATACTCTAATATTCGATAAGTATTTGTGAATATTCATGAATATTTATCAAATACCAAGTATTCGAGTTCGAATTCGAAAAACTAGATATATGAATATTAGAGTCTGCATTCGAATTCGATAATTTTAAACAAATACAAATACGAATACCTCAGTATTCGATTCGATTCGATCGTTTACCACCCCTAACCATAACATGGTAAGTGAAAAAGAATACTACTGGTACAAGGTCTCACTAAAATGTCAAATTGACAGTTTAATTATTGCAATAAAATAATGATTTTTTAATAGAATTTTGTTAAGGAGTGCTCCTCAGGTGCTTGTTAGCGAGAAAAAGAGAGGCGTTGCGTAAGAGAGTGAGGCCATGTGTACGATGATCCTATTTTAATACCCTAAACTCTAGGTATTATCAATTTTAGCTCCTAAGGTACCGTTTGACAAAAGGTTAAGAGAGGAGGTTAAGGAGACTTAACCCCTTCTTAACCTGTCAAACACAACAAATCTATATAAGGGTTAAAGTGAGTTAACCCTCCATAATTTGTCAAACATGAAAAATATAGAAGGGTTAAGTTAACCCCTCTAGAGGGGTTAAAATGAGTTAACCCCTCAAAATGAGGGGTTTACTAATACTCCTATTTAGATGGAATAAGAGTTAACCATTCTAATTATAAAGAAAATAGTTAAAATCATTGTTATTCCCAAACACTAAAACTGATTATAAGGGCTAAAATAAAACTTATTTAACGGGTTAATAATTTAGTCCTTCGGATTATCAAATGGGCTAATTACATTAATCCTTCTCTTTAACCTCTCTTCATTAACCCTTTGCCAAACGGGGTCTAAATGATTGCAATGGTTAAATTGCCTCCAACAGTCATTAATATTGGCTATAATCCTAGCTCTAATCCTAATCTCGACCCTAATTCTAGTCCTAACAAATATCAAGTATATTAAGTTGCTGCCCGACTCTGATCAACCCATATAGTTTGAATAAGTAAATCTTACGATCATGTACGTGTAGATGCACCTACTCCAGAATTACTCGTACAATTACATCATATCTTAGAATACCGAAATATAATTAATCCTACAAAAATAACATGGTGACAAAACTGCAAAAGTAGCATCTAGTCCAAAACTTTATACAATGCCCCTTTACCCTTTATTTTTTTTCTTTTCATTAATTATTTGATTTATTGATGATTAGTTGTCTGACCTTCGCTTTTAAGACTAGCACTTTTTCATCAAGCTCAATCTCCAACAAGCTGTCAGCAAAAAGTTCACGCCCTTTAAGCTTGAGAGAATACGCAACAGCTAAAATTAGACATAAAAGAACCCATTTGTTAGAGAAACTGCAGTCTTACTCGCACTCCTTTTAATGGACATACGCAACACGATCTAAACTTTTGATGGGAGAAAATTAACTAGAGACCCAAAACAATTTTAGGGAGCAATTCTTTTACCTAAACAATCAAATAGATCCCTTATCTTTGCCCTCAGTAGCAACTAACACCCCTTGACTCATCTATTAGCACTTAGCACCACTTAGTTGCCGCTTTAGATGGATAAATTGCCTATTACTTCTCTGAAAAGAACCTAGGTAAATTTCAGGTAGAAAACTCCTTTAACTTCGATGGAAGTTTTGGAAAGTTTCGTGGGTTTCTTGTGAAATTTCCAAAGCCTAACTGAGGTCTTGTACTAATGAGGATCTTGTGAATTATGAAATATATAATATCCCAAAAGGTGGAAAAGCTTTATAGAAAGCTCTCGATGTATAAGAAATCATGAAAAGAAGAAGGGGGGGTGGGAAAAAAAAACTTTTTTGTGTCCCGCTATAAATTTTACAGATTGATGATTACACTCTCATGAAAAGAAGAAAAGAAATACTTTTAGGCGTGGGATCCTTTCTTTTTAAAATTTTGGGAAGATTGATAGCTTATCAAAAAAGTTGTGACACTTATCTCTCTAGTAGTTTCAGAGTAATTTGGAATAGCCTAGCAAGTATTATTGTTAAATATACTCATGAACGATTTTTACAAATAGCCCTTTGTATGATTTTTTCCCCATGGGCAAAGTAAAA